CAGGCGCATCGAGATACATCCGGGTAAATCCAGGTAAATCCAGAGATCTCCAGAGAAATTTGGAGCAACTCGCGGCCGCTCCAGCGCGAGTCGAAGGACGGCAGACGTCGTTAAGCCTTCAACGAGGGAGGGCAAGGTCTTTTGGTTCGGGTGCTTGTGGAACCCGCCGTCCAGATCCCCTCCACGCCGACGGCTCTCACATGCATCGCCGGCGTCGCCGCTGCACCAGCGAGGCCGCTCGATGCGGGGCAGGGTCTGCTCCACGCCGACGGCCTCGACGCGTCACCGGCGCCGCCGAGGCATCGGCGATGCGGCGCGATCCTGCTCGGGCGCCATCTGGGAGGCCTTCAGGGGCGCGGGGGGACCAGCGGCCGGTGCCGGTGCGGGCAGGACGGCGGAGCCCGAGGGCGCGGCGGGCGTCGTGGCCCTCGTCGGCGCGGTCGCCGCGAGCGGCGAGCGTACAGTGGAAGCCCATGCCAAGAAGCACCCTGCTTCCCAGACATCGGGCGTGTCACAAAAAAATGCGAGACGAGGGTTTTTCGTCGTTTTCGGCCTCTCGGGGCCCTCGCCGGGCCTTGGGGCCGTCAAAAGACGACTCGGGATGAAAAACTGGTCCCGGGGAAGTGGTCGGGAGGTCGGGGGCCTACGTCTCGAAAAAATCGAGACGTCGGATGTCTGGGTTGCCTCCAGGGTGCCCTGGGTTTCTCGGGTTTCGATGGTTCTGCCATGGAAGGCGTGACGTTCCCATGCCAGAAATCAGCGGACGTCCTAGGGTCTCAGTGTCGGGTTTCTCGGGGAAAGTCTCTTGTGGTCGGGCCACTACAGTATCTGTGTCTACGCATGCGCGGCCTGGGGCTCCGAGGCAGGATCCCGTGGATGCGCGGTCGGATGGGCCCGTTCCGCGCGGGGCATCCGGGAAAAGGCGCCCTTTGTCCACGGAGTCGTGTCCCAGGGGTTCTGGCCCGCGAGGCCGTGCATGCGGACACGTTTCCAGCCGCGAGGTCGCGGAGTGCTCCCGGCTCCGAGCTCTGGACCTGAGGGCCTCCTCGCTGACGCACAGTGCAGCTTGCGAGCTGGCCTTGCTGGTGGGGGGCGAGCGTTGCCAGCTTGTGTCGCTGAGCCTAGCGGATTGCTTCCTGGGCGAGGCGGCGGTGCCAGTGCTGGGCGCGGTGCAGACGAACCGTGGGCTCGTCAAGCTCAATCTGCGGCTCAACGCCCTATCAGATCGCGAAGGCATCCCCCTCTGCAACGCCCTGCGCGAGTCCATCTCGCTTACGGACGTGGATCTGGCGTCAAACGACCTCTCCGATGACTTCGGGATGAACTTCGCGAGGGTGCTGTGCACCAACGACATCCTCTGGAGAGTCGACCTCGCGCGAAATCCGCTGGGGTCGACCGCGGGCGACGCGATCCTGGAAGTGCTGAAGAGGAGGAAGGTAGGGCTGGTGAGCATCGGGGACACCACGAACAGCCTCTTCGGCCTCGGCCTGCAGAACCGACGGCAGATCCAGCGCTTCCTGGACGAGAATTCGAATGCGTTCGGGGGACCCCTGAATACGGGGGAGGAGGAAGAGGTGATCGAGAAAGAACACTGCATGAACATAAGCTTTCGAAGCTCCGCGCGGAGTTCTGGTGTCGGCGCTGGGCCCCCCAGGCAGCGCCTCTGGCGCCGCCCCCTCCGCGCGCCAGGGAGAGGGGTCCAGCGCCGATTTAAGCATCCCGCGCGGAGCTCCAAATGTTTGCGTTTGTGCCTTATCTGATTTTCCTAGGTGAACGGCCTGTGCTTGGGAGACTTCGAGTGGAGCATACTGGAAGACTTGCCGAGGCCGCTCGAGCCTCTGATGCTCCTGTTGTGACGCGCCCAGCCTTCCGGAGCCTGCACAGGGGCAGCTTGCGCAAGCAGGGAGCAAGCAGATCTCTTCTTCCTCCTCCTCCTCGTCCTCCTTTCTTCCTCCTCCTTCCTCATCGTTCCTCGTCCTCTTCCTCCTCCTCCTCTTTCTTCTCCTCCTCCTCCTCGTTCTCCTCCTCCTCCTCCTCCTCCAGCCCCTCCTCCTCCTCCTCCTCCTCCCTCCTCCTCCTCCTCCTCCTCCTCCTCCTCCTCCTCCCCATCCTCCTCCTCCTTCCTCATCGTTCCTCCGCTTCCTCCTCCTTCTCCTTCTCCTTCCTCCTCTCCCTCCTCCTCCTCCTCCTCCTCCTCCTCCTCCTCCTCCTCCTCCTGATCATCATGATAATCATAATAATCGTCATCCTCATCATCATCAAAAGCAGCATCAGTATCATCACCATCACCATCATCATCAGCATCAGCATCAGCATCATCTTAACCAGTAGCATCAGCATCATCAGCATCATCAACAGCATCAGCATCACTATCCTCATCATCACCATCACCATCATCACCACCATCATCATCATCATCATCATCATCATCATCGTCGTCATCATCATCATAATCAGCATCATCATATTTCGCATCAACTTTATCATCATCATCCATCCTTCTTCTCGTCGTCCTCCTGCTCCTCCACCTCCTCCTCCTCCTCCACCCTTCTCCCTCTCCTCCTCCTCCTCCTCCTCCTCCTCTTCTCCTCCTCCTCTTTTCTTCATCCTTCTTCTACTTCTCCTCCTCCTCCTCCTCCTCCTCCTCCCCTCTTCCACACTCCTCGTGCAAATCCCCCTGGCGGTTCCTTTGGGGGTCCTTCCTTTTCCTCCATTCCTCCTCCTCCTTCTCCTCCTCCTTCTCCTCCTCCTTCTCCTCCTCCTCCTCCTTGTCCTCCTTTTCCTACTCCTCCTCCCCCTCCTCCTCCTCCTCCTCCTACCCCCTCCTCCTTTTCTTCCTCCATTCCATTTCCTCATCCATAACTCTTCTTTTCCTTCTCCACCTACCCCTCCTCCGTTTCCTTTTCCTCCTCTCCTCTTCCATTCCTCCTCCTCGTCCTCCTCCTCCTTCCTCCTCACTTCCTCTTCTTGATAGATAACTTCTCCCAGTCGCATCCCGAGGCAAGTGTTTGAGGCGGGTCGGGCGTTTCGCCTGAGACTTCCTCACCGTTTATGGCTCGGAAGCTTAACACGTGGCAGCAGCTCCACAGATGGAGGGCGGGTGGTTTTCAACATGTGGCTCTCGCCTTAGCGCCGCGCACATTCGTTTTTATGTTTAAAAATACGAGTTTCACGGATTGAGGGCGGGTCGTTTTCAACATGTGGTTCTCGCCTTAGCGCCGCGTGCATTCGATTTAACCACTTGCGAGAGCTTCAGGGATTGAGGGCGGTCCTTTTCAAAATGTGGCTCTCGCTTTGGCGCCGCGTAGATTCGTTGTTTAACATTTGCAACGGTTCCACGGATTGAGGGCGGGTCGTTTTCAACATGTGGTTCTCGCATCAGTGTCACGGACATTTGTTTGGAAACCTTGCAAGAGCGTCATGGATTTCCATGGTCAGCGTACCAGGCATGGTGTTTTGGAAGGATTCAGGATTACGCGGACGCAACAGTTACGCTGATTCGAGGTATTGAAGTTCCAAAAATGGCTTTCTGGCACGATTCCGGATCGTCAAGGCGCAGCAGTCAGGCTGATCCGTGGCGTAGAAATCATAAGAACGATGTTTTGCATACTTCAGGGTCTTCAAGCGAGTGCCTTCCACCGAGGCCGTTCCCTCGGCAATGAGCCGGTGTAGGGGCCACTGAAGAGGGAGCTTGGAGGGAGGGCACATTTCAACATCGTTGATGACTCTTGGGTTTAGACTGGTTCTTTTCTTTCTCCTCCCCCTCCTCCTCCTCCTCCACCCCCTCCCCCTCCTCCTCCTCTTCCTCCTCCTCCTCCTCTTCCTGCTCCTCCTTCTCCTTCTCCTCCTCCTTATTTCCTTTTCCTTCCCTCCTTCGCCTCCTCCTCCTCCTCCTCCTCCTCCCTCCTCCTCCTTCCTCCTCCTCCTCCTCCTCCTCCACCTCCTCCACCTTCTCCTTTATCCTTGTCCTCTCCTTCTCCGCCTCTCCTCCTCCTTCCGCTCCTCCTCCTCTCTCCTCCTCCTCCTCCTCCTCCTCCTCCTCCTCCTCTCCTCCTCCTCCCTCCTCCTCCTCCTCTTCCTCCTCCTCCTCCTCCTCCTCCTCCTCCTCCCTTTCCTCCTCCTTCCTCCCCTCCTCCTCCTCCTCCTCCTCCTCCTCCTCCTCCTCCCTCCTCCTCCTTCTCCTTCTCCTCCTCCTCCTCCTCCTCCTCCTCCTCCTCCTCCTCCTCCTCCCCCTTTTTCACAGTCCTTGTGCAAACACCCCTTGCCGTTCCCCTTGGGGTGCTGAAGCCAGCGCCTCGCCTGAGACATTCCCACGAAGACATCCTCACAATCTTGTTTGAAGACAGACAAGGTCTGAGTGTCCCAGAGGCAAGCCGCCTCAGACATGTCCACAATCTCGGCGAGAATGGGTGCGTGAGATGGTGAGATACCCCTGGCGATCCCCCCGTGGAGTGCTGGAATCAGCGCCTCACCTGACAGATCCTCACAAGCTGCTCTGAAAGCCGAGGGAGCCGGACAACCAAAAAGCAAACCGCCTGGGAGATCGATATCCCAGAGTTTCCTGGGAGTTCCGCCCTGACGCTTCATATTTGTAAGGCGTTCTAGGGCTTCCTGGAGTTGCAGTGAGCGTCCTTTAGATTCCTGGGAGCTCCTGGGAGCTCGCTGGGGCGTCAGGGGAATCCCTGGAGCTTGCTGGGAGATCCCAGGGCAGCTTGGGGGGTTTCTGGCTCTTCCTGGGGCTCCCAGGAGCTTCCCTGGGGCGTCGTGGAGCTTCCTGGGAGAACTCCTCGGGGCTCCGTGGGGGCTTCCTGGGAGCTCCCTGGGGGCTTCCTGGGAGCTCCTCCTCCTCCTCCTCCTCCTCCTCCTCCTCCTCCTCCTCCTAGGGCTCCCCCGTTGGGGTGCTGGAGCCAGCGCCTTGCTCGGGGACATCCTCACGATCGGCTCTGAAAGCAGAGCGGCCTGGGGGGCCAGCGCTGGCAAACCGCTGGAGGTATCCCCACAAGTTGGGCGCAAGCCTTGGTGTGTGCCCACCCCTGGCGGCTCGGCCTCGGAGTGCTGGAAGTAGCGTCTCGCTGGAGGCGTCCTCGATTTGAAAGCACACTGAATGCAAGCAAACAAACAGGCAACCCGCGTGAGGCATACCAGACGCACGATCTGGGCACAAGCTGGCGAGTGCAATCACCCTGGTGGCTCCCCCCTGGGGAGTGCTGAAGCCAACGCCTTGATGGACCAGGTTGTTTGCGCCCGGATTATGGGGATTTATCAAACGGCTTGCCTGTTTGGGTGCTTGGACTCTGTGTGCTTTCAGAGCAGATTGTGAGGACGCCTCGAGCGAGACCCTGGTTTCAGCACTCCGAGGCTGAGCCGCCAGGGGTGGGCACGCTCCAAGATTTGCGCCCAGGCTGTGGGGATATCCCAGGCGGTTTGCCTGGTTGGTCGCTTGGGCCTCCCTGCGTTCAGAACTTGTGACGATGTCTCCGGCGAGGCACTGGTTTCAGCGTTCCCGAGGGGGAGCCGCCAGGGTGGTGCCTGCACGGGATCGTTCGCGCCCAGACTGTGGGGCTCCCCCTGGGGAGTGCCGAAAGCAGCGCCTCGTTCGAGACATCCTCGCAATCCTTTGTGGAAGCACACAGACTCCAAGCGACAAACCAAGCAAGCCGCCTGAGACATCCCTACAATCTTGGCGCGAACGAGCCCGTGCAGCCACCCTGCCGGCTCGCCTCTTGAAAGTGTTGAAGCCAGCGCCTCGTTCGGATGATGTTCACAGTTTGCTCTGAAACCACACAGAGTGCAAGCAACTGAACAGGCAAACCGCCTGAGACATCCACGCAATCTGTTCTGGAAGCACACTGAGTCCAAGCGACCAACCAGGCAACCCGCCTGAGGCATCTAGACAGTCTGGGCGCAAACGGGCGAGTGCAGCCACCCTGACGGCTCATCCCTTGTGAGTGCTGGAACCAGCGCCTCGTTCGAAACATTCTCACAATCTGTTTGAAACCACACAGAGTCCAAGCAATGCAACAGGCAAACCGCCTGAGACATCCACACAGTCTTGGCGCCCACGGGCGAGTGCAGGCGGCTCCCCCTGGGGAGTGCTGAAACCAGCGCCTCGCCTGAAACATCCTCACACTTTGTTTTAAGAGCAAGGGGCTGCAAGCAGCCAGACAGGCAAACCGCCTGAGACATCCCCACAGTTTTGGCGCCACACGGGCGATTGCAACCACCCTGGCGGTTCCCCGTTGGGAATGTTGAAGCCAGCGCCTCGCCTCAGACAGCCTCAGAACCTGTTCTGAAAGCAGACGACTCCAAGACGCCCAAACTAGCAGCCCGCCTGAGACATCCCCGCAATCTGGGCGCGAACGGGCGAGAGCAACCATCCCTGGCGGCTCCATTTCGGGGGTGGTAAGACCAGCGCCTCGCCGGAGACATCCTCACAATCTGCTCTGAAAGCAAAGTGGTCAGCGGGACCGAAACAGGCAAAGCGCCTGAGACATCCTTGCAATCTGGGCGCGACTGGGCGAGAGCAACCACCCCTGGCGGCTCCCCCCATGGAGTGCTGAAGCCAGCGCTCGCCGGAGACATCCTCACAGTCTGCTCTGAAAGCAAGGGAGCCGGCGGCGCCGAAGCAGGCAAAGCGCCAGAGGCATCCCCACAGCCTTGGAGCGAACGGGCGAGAGCAGCCACCCCTGGCGTCTCCCCCCAACGAGTGCTGCTCTCGGGCGGGGGGCAGTGGGGGGTGACCTGAAATGGGGGGCCCGAGGCACCAAAAGGGAGGAGGAGGAGGAGGAGGAGGAGGAGGAGGAGGAGGAGGAGGAGGAGGAGGAGAAGAGCGGGGAGGAGGAGGAGGAGGAGGAGGAGGAGGAGGGAGGAGGAGGAGGAGGAGGAGGAGGAGAGCGGGGAGGAGAAGGCGGAGGAGGAGGAGGAGCAGAGGGGCCGGCCGCCGAAGAACGCGCACGCCGCCCGAGGCAGCGCCACGAGCTGTGGGCGCGAGCAGGCCCCGTGGGGCCACCCCCCTTTGCGGCGCCCCCTTCGGAGGTGCGGAAGCCAGCGGGGCTCGCTCAAGGCATCCTCGAGCTCTGCTTCGAGGCCAGCACTCGGTGAATTACGCTTCGCTGGGGGCAGCGCGGCGGACTTTGCACGCCTCGCTGCGCAGCGGCGCGCGCAGCTCCCCACGCGCCGGACTGTTCGGCGCCTTCCCGGGCGCCCGCGGCTGCGCGGGGCGCCTGCTGTCCGCTCGTCAAAAAAGCGAGTGAGTCTGAGTGCGAGTGGGTATGAGTGCGAGCGGCCAGGAGCGCGAGGGGGTCTGACCATCAGTGAGTCCGCGGGCGAGTGCGTCCGAGTGCCAGTAAGCCTGAGTATGATTGAGTCTGAGTGTGAGTGAGTCTGAGTGTGAGTGAGTCTGGGCGTAAATGAGTCCGAGTGTGAGTTTGTCTGTGTGAGCGAGTTTTAGTATGAGTCTGAGTGCGGAGTGCAAGTGAATCTCAATGTGAGTGAGTCTGTGTGTGTGAACCTGAGTCTGAGTGAGTCTGAGTTTAAGTGGATCTGTGCATGTGTTTCTGAGTGTCCAGATGTCTGTCTATGAGAATATGATCACGAGTGAGTCCGAGCTTGAGTGAGTCTGGGTATTATTGAGTCAGACGAAGAGGTTAGCCGGAGTGTGAGCGAGACTGAGTGCGAGCGAGTCTGAGTAGTATGAGTGAGTCTGAGTGAGAGTGGGTCTGAATATGAGTGGGTCTGAGCAGGGGAGAGGAGGAGTGGGGGGAGAAGGAGGTGCGAGGTCAGGTGCGAGGCGGAGGCGCCCGAGTCTTCACAAGAACCCCTCTCTGGAGATGGGCGACGGACAAGGCTGAGTTCTCATTGCGGCCACGCGCCCTTGCAGGACTCCACGACCGCCCAAGAACGGGCCAGGACGAAAGATTGGTCCCAGGGAAGTGGTCCAGTACTCCCATGGATCAAGGGAGCGTGGATTAGTGACAGGTCCCGTTTCCGATTGAAATCGCGGATTTCCGCCGCCGCACGAGGCGGCACCGGCCGCTTTTTGGGGAGGGCGCCTCCCCCGATCCATGGATCTGGCGGCCGCGCGCCAAGTCCATGGATCGCGAATCCATGTTTGCGCGCTCCCGAGCCAAAGCAAGGGCCAGGACGAAAAGTTGGTCCCAGGGAAGCGGTCCAGTATCCCAAAGGCACCCCAATATATAGGCAAAGCGCCAGGCCGGAGGTCTTAGCCGCAGGGCCCCAGTGCGCAGCCCAGGAAATTATGGCGGCAGCATGGTGCCCACCTCCTCCTCCTCCTCCTCCTCCTCCTCCTCCTCCTCCTCCTCCTCCTCCTCCTCCTCCTCCCCAGCTCTTGCTGTTGTTTCTGCTGCTGTTGCTGCTGCTGCTGAGACGTCGCGAACCAACACGACCAGAGAGCCTCAGACCCCACCCCAGAGATCCCACCCCAGATTACCAGCCTCGAACGTATCCCTATCCCTAAGATTGACACGCCAAAAGGCGATGACAATCTTAGGGAGTCGCCCTCAAAAATAAGGGAATCCCTAAGACTGGCATCGTGATGAGGAGGTGCCCAGCATAGGGATAGGGATATGTTCCAGGCTGGCAACCAGAGATCCAACGTATTGAAAAAATCAAGACGGAGGTTCCTCGCGGTTTTTGGCCGCTCGGGGCCCTCGCTGGGCCTCGGGACCGTCGAGAGACGACTCAGGACAAACAGAAACGGTCCCGGGAAGAGGGTCGGGACTTGCGGGGACCCCGTCGTGACACAAATCACGACATCGGATCTTTGAATCCTCATCTTTCTGCAGCACTTGTCGAGCCGAATCGATCTGTGCTGATGGTGGTGGTCCTGGCGGGGACCTGGCACGGGCGAGAAACGCCCAGCGCTGCAGAACTGCAGCGCCGGGATCCCATGGGGCCATCTGGCGCCTGCTCTTCCCTCGGAGGCGGCCACGAGGGGGGAGGGACCAGGGGGGGGGGGGGGGCGTGCGGATCTCGTGGCCTGGGCCATGGTACCCTCCCAGGTGTCATGGCCCCTCCTCTTATTCCAGGAGGGGAGAAAAACACACACAGACACAATGAATCGTCGATTACCACGAAAATATGGGAACATGTGGGAATTGGGCGGGAAGACAAAAACCCAGAAAATATGGGAAATATGGGGAATCTTCTTATCTGTGTGTATTTCCCCAATCAGAGCTTGCTTCTGTAGGGGTCCTAGCGGATATAAAGCTGAGGTGAGGTCGGCGGCCGATTTCGGTGGCCGGGGCTGGATGCCCAGGTGCCTGGGGGTGCCCTGGTGGCCGATTTCGGTGGCCGGGCCCGGGTGCCCGGGCGCCCGGGTGCCCGGGGGTGCCCGGGTGCCCGGGGGTGCCCGGGTGCCCGGGGGTGCCCAATAGCCCAATAGCCCAGTAGCCCTATAGCCCTATAGCCCTATAGCCGTATAGCCCTATAGCCCTATAGCCCTATAGCTTTATATCCCTATAGCCCTAATAGCCTTATATCCCTATAGCCCCATAGCCCCATAGCCCATATAGCTCTATAGCCCCATAGCCCTATAGCCCTATGGCCCTATAGGTCACAGTCCTATAGCCTTATAGCCCTATAGCCCGATAGCCCTATAGCCCGATAGCCGTATAGCCCTATAGCCCAATAGCCCTATTGCCCTATAGCCCTATAGCCCTAACAAAAATCTGATTGGGTTTTTTCTCTGGTAGCCTTTTTTTTTGTTGTGTGTGTGTGTGTGTCCCAGGGCCTCTTCATTATTTCAAGTGTGGTCCTTGGGCGCCCCTGGGCGCACCACGTGCCCCCTGGGCCATGGTCTGCGCCCCCCGCTCTTGCACGCCCCCCCCCTGTCTTCCACGCCCCCGATGCCTGCTCCTGCTGCACCTCCTCCTCCTCCTCCTCCTCCTCCTCCTCCTCCTCCTCCTCCTCCTCCTCCTCCTCCTCCTCCTCCTCCTCCTCCTCCTCCTCCCCCTCCTCCTCCCCTCCTCCCCCTCCTCCTCCCCCTCCTCCTCCCCCTCCTCCTCCCCCTCCTCCTCCTCCTCCTCCTCCTCCTCCTCCTCCTCCTCCTCCTCCTCCTGGGCCGACGAGTCGCCGAGTGATCGGACCAGACCATCCCAGATGTCTCCTACACTCGGGGGCGGAAGAGAGGGGGGTGATGACTTTAGGGGGGGCGGATATCCTGGCGGGGGCCATGATGTTTCCCCAGATCTCATGGCGTCTCCTCTTGGTTCATTACGTCCCTGGCCCCTCCGCTGGGCCGCGCACATGCCGCCGGGCATGATTTGCACCCCCCCTCTTGGACACCCCCCTCTTGGCCGCTCCCGACGTACGCTGCTCGCTCTCGGCTACAGAGTCGATCCGACGCATCCACCCCGCACCCAGGGGCCGTCGCCCCTGATTCACGGGGCGCTCTTCGCTCCTCGCAGAGTGCCAACTCGCAAACGTCCGAACAAAAACATGGTTCGCCTCGTGGTACCGGATCGTCAATCCTCATCGTCGGATCCCGGACGTTCGCGAGTGGTTCCTTCGCGCGAGTAGTGGAGCTCGCTTGTCTAGTGATGGGGGAGTGGTGCTCAAACCACGGAGTCTGTATCACAAGAAAAAATGGGGAAGACGACCCGCAGCTCCCTCATGGGCGGGGTAGACAGGCCCCCCCTGGGTGGGGGGGGAGAGGAGGGGAGGCTTCGAGATGATATCCAAGAGAGGGATAACTATGTTCAAGCAGTGGCGAAGCGTTCTGGCTTGCCTACAGGGCCCACCAACGATTGCTCTGACAACCTTTTGTGGCTTGTGCGGCATTTTCTTGTAACATGCCTGGCTGAACCTGTCCTGTTTGTAACGCATCGGGTTTATGTTCCAAGAGCATCGTCTTTGCTCTCGGAATACGCCCTGGCTCGAAGAACGTGTCGTGGTAGGCCTATAGGAATCTCGGGACGGTCGGCCCCTGCCCAACAGGTGTGTGAATCGGCGCTGCTCCTGCTGCTCCTCCTGCCCGCTGCACCTCCGCAGCTCCAGCGGCGACGCGCGCCCGCCGCGAGGCGCCGCGAGGAGGCCGCCGCCGCGGAGCGCGCGGAGGCGGCGGCCGCCGAGGCTGCCGAGGCCGAGGGGCTCGCCAGGGAGGAGCGCCGCAAGGAGAAGGAGCGGCGGGCGCCGCCACCGCCGGCGGCTCTTCGCGCGCAGGGCTCCCAGGGGGGGGGGGGCGGGGCGGAGTATCAAGCAGCGGCGAAGGACGACGACGACGACGACGACGACGACGACGACGACGACGACGAAGGCAGGCAGCCAGCCAGGCAGGCAGGCAGGCAGCGGCAGCGGCGGGCGATGCCCCTCGGCGCCCGGCCCCGCGCGCAGGAGGCGGAGAAGAAGCGGCGGCAGAAGGAGAAGCTGAGGCCCGGGGGGGCCGGGGAAGAGGGAGTCCCAGACCCTCTCGCGATGTTCATCAGAGCGTGACTTACCTACCCCGCTTTCGCTTCCAGGCAAAACCAAGTCATACCATACGCCTCCTCGTCAAGCGGCCTGACCAGTGCATGCCGTAGTTTGGCATCGCTTGGTATCTCTTGGAAGCGAGGGTGGTTAAAAGCGAGGTAGGTTTGTTTGCCCCCTAGTTCAGGCGATCGCAAACATGGATCAAGGGGGCCGTGGATTAGCGACGGGTGCCGCTTCCATGGGAACTCGCGGATGTCCGCCGCCGAACGAGGCGGCACCGGCCGCAGTTCTGGGAGGGCACCTTCCCCCGATCCATGGATTTGGCGGCCGCGCGCCAAATCCATGGATCGCTAATCCATGTTTGCGCGCCCCCGACATGTGCAAACATTACGACGAGAGGTTTTTCGCTATGTTCGGCCCCCAGGGGCCCTTACCAGGCGTCGGAACCGTCCAAAAACGACTTAGGATGAAAAACTGGTCCTGATGAAGGGGTCGAGACCTCTGGGGGTCGACGTTGTGAAGAAACGTCGGGGGGTCTGGGTTCTCAGAGGAGCAAGAGGTCAGAATAATGATATGCGTTCCAGGACTTCCCAGGTTTCCGGGATCTCGTGTAGTTCCTGATGTTCCGCACCGGTTGCGCCTCTGGATACTTTTTGGGAATATTGGAACGCATCCTGAGCTCATCTTATCATGATATGTTCACGCCCTGGAGTCATGACTCAGGTATCAGAACAGTTGCGAAGCAGCATCCAGACAAAAGCAACCCACTCACTGAAGGCCGCGTGCCTTGGGCGGGGGATCCCTTTTCGAGAACCGACCGATACACTTACGCCGTGCGCGAGCGAGGAGGAGACAGAGGACGACAAAGCGGGACGACAAATTTGGCAAGAGGCAGGGAGGGGGAGGAAGAGGAGGAGGAGGAGGAGGAGGAGGAAGAGGAGGAGGAGGGTGAGGAGGAATAGCAGGATCTGACAAAACAGGACGTTGGCGTGCCCGAAGAGAGGGAGGGAAGGGGGAGAGGAAGAGAAGGGGGGACCAGGAGAGAAGGGGGTGAAATGAGAGGTGGAGGGTGCCCCCTCCCTGCGAGAGGGGGGGCGGTTGGGGCTGGGGAGTTGGGGGGGGGGAGGTTGTTTGCTTGTCGCTGTGCTCTGGCTGCAGACGGTTGCGTTCCAGGCTTACTTCATGTCGCGGGCCTGGGTCCCTGGGGCAACGCCCCAGGCATCGTCCAACTCAAACTGGGCCTCGACAGAACAGCGATGCGCTGCGAGGCCGATGTGCGGCTTCCGAGGGACATTTTGACAGGAGTGACCGACTTTCTGAGGACTCTGGCAGGTTGACTGCACACGAGATCGTCGATGTAAGACCCCTCCACCCCCCCGACGAGCAAGTGATCCCACCTGGTGCCTGCACAACCTGCCCGTCCACGGCCAACAGGAATCCTGAGCTATGCAATATGGAAGCTGAGCAACGCCACAATCCACAGAACGTGGAGCGATGTGAGAACCGTTCCCAAGTGATGGAACCGAGACAAGATGGCAATATGGACGTAGCACACACTGAGGGCTACGACGAAGCACTTACACTTGTTGACACCATCCCCGCATGCCGCTTGACCCTTTGCTTGAAGGGCGCCCGCATCTTCTGGTTACCCGAGTTGACTGCACTCCAGGTGTCCTTTGGCAAGCGCCCGCTTGCCCCCTTGATTAGAAGCATGCGCCCTGGCCCAAACCCAGGAGCCGTACAGGATGTTTTCGTTAATGGCCTTGGGGCTTTGACAACGGCCCCCGTGAGGCCGAGATCAAGGATACTCTTGCTGGGGCTGAAAGACACACGGCGTCGGATATCTGGGGGTGCCAGGGGGTCCCAGAGTCCCCCCCCGGAAGCCTCACGAGACCGCGGGAGAGGCGGTCAAAGACGGCGACGGCGACAACGACGAGGGCGCCTGGGGCCAGGAAGGAACCCCAGACGCGACGTCGACGACGAGATCGATCGGCGACGACGACGACAACAACAATGATGACAACGATCATGTTGCGAACACTTGGCATCGCTCGGACGTGTGCATTTTCTTTCGGCGAGGACCATCGAGGAGCACCCTTGACCACCTGGCGAAAAAAACACGCACGACACCGAAAAAAACGCAGAGAATGCACGTCCAAGCGATGGCCAGAACAAGTGATCGAACAGGCAGCGTTGACCTCCTCCTCCTCCTCCTCCTTTCCCTCCTCCTCCTCCTCCCTCCTCCTCCTCCTCCTCCTTCCTCCTCCTCCTCCTCCCTCCTCCTTCCTCCTCCCTCCTCCTTCCTCCTCCTCCTCCCCCTCCTTCCTCCTCCTCCCTCCGTCCCTCTTGTGCCCGCTCTTCGGCGCAGTCCGCTCTGCGGGCGGACCCGCGCCGCCAGGGCCGGCCGTGCGAGCTTCAGCGCGCCCGCGGGCAGCCGACCACCTTGGGTGAGATGCGCTCGCGGGCGAGACTCCTCCTCCTCCTCCTCCTCCTCCTCCTCCTCCTCCTCCTCCTCCTCCTCCTCCTCCTCCTCCTCCTCCCCCTCCTCCTCCTCCTCCCCCTCCCCCTCCGCCTCCGCCTCCGCCCGCCTCCTCCGGTCGCGCTGGAGCTGCGCGCCTGCGCCTGCGTGCGTGGCCTGCCCCCCGCTCGCTCTCCGCAGGGCCTGGCGCTCGCTCGGGACGGAGGCTTGGCATCGCTCGGACGTGTGCATGCTTCCTTCAGCGAGGACCATCGATCAGAGCCCCGAATCATCAGGGGTAACTCGGGTCAGGGCTAATTCGGGTTCGTTTTCCGGGATTCCGAACCCGAGTTACCCCGGACCCGAGTTACCCCGGATAACTCGGGCGTCCAGAGCCCCGAATCATCAGGGGTAACTCGGGTCAGGGATAACTCGGGTTCGTTTTTCGGGAACCCAAACCCGAGTTACCCCGGACCCGAGTTACCCCGGATAACTCGGGCGCCCAAATCGAGGAGCATCCTTGATCACCTGGCGAAGAAGCCACGCACGAAGCCGAAACAAGAAACACACAGGAAACGGACGTCCGAGCGATGGCCAGGACTCACATCCAGGCGCGCAGGACCCAAACCCAGACGCGCAAGACCCAACCCCGACGCGCATGCCTCGAACCCCAACGCGCAAGACCCCCCCCAAAAAGGCTCCGCAGGCCCGAAAGATCTTTGGGGCCCTTGGAGCTTTGTTTGTGCCCTGCGCGTCGCAGCCGCCTCCCACCAAAAATCGCTGGGACCATGGACACTTCCACAAGCGCCCAACACGACCCCCCCCTCCGTAGCCCCGGCGAGGACCCATGCCCTGCCATGCCCCCACCCCCGCCTCCCAGAGCAGGAACGACGGCGGCGCCGACGGCGTCACAGGAAACAACGGCGACGACGACGACGAGGACGACAGCGAGGAGGACGGCGAGGAGGATGACGAGGGCGACGGGCGGCGACAGCGATGGCAAAGACCGCGGCTGCCCCGCCCTGAAGGGCCAAGAAGGACGAGCAGCGCGCCGAGCAGGCCAGGCAGCAGGCCGAGAGAGACCTCCAGGCCGCCAAGGCCGCGGCGCCCGTCAGGCCGCGCCGCCCGCCGCCGTCGAGGATGGTCGCCCGCCGAGTGGCCGAGGTTGGAGGGCCGGGGCTCGAAGTCCTTTCGCGTCGTGAACAGACAGCGGGTTTTCGAATACACTACGTATATGTATATGTAGCCTGTCTTAGCGAATTCGCCCAGTTCGCGTCCAGGACTTTGCTCTTGCCGCCTGACCTTCGTCTCGCGGCCGCGACCGAAAAACAAAAGTATATGTAGATGTACATGTATCAGCCCCAAGCAGTGCTTGCATTTGGGGATCCAAATTTCTGTTCTAAGGAGGTGGGCCTGCAGGCCAGTATGGCGGCTCCGCGCTCGCCGTCGCCGACCCGACGCCTGCTCGTCGCCGCCCATCGTCTGGGCCTGAGGGCGGGTCCGGCGGCTCCGTGCTCGCCGTCGCCGCCCCGTCGCCACCTCGTCGCCACCCATCGTTTGGGCCTGCAGGCTGGTCTGGCGGCTCCGTTCTCGCCGTCCCCGCCCCGTCACCGCCTCGCATAGAATGCACCGCATATAGATGTTCATTCCTGGTGGAGTAATAGGATTTCCCCCCGGAGCGAAACCATTGTCGTATTGCAATTTAGATACGATTCTGCCCCATCGTCCATCCTAAATATGAACCCGTACCATACCACGCAGGCCGGTATCGGCCCCCCCTATCACCCCTTGCAGAGTATGTTATGCGCGCGCATTCGTTTATCACAAATCATCATTTGTTCAAAAAACCTTTGCACAAATATAAAACGAAGTGCGTAGGCGCGCGTCGTCGCGCGCGCGTGCCGAAATCCTTCCAACAAACCGCTTGGTTTCGCAAGGATTTAAACTTCAAGTGTCCCGAGAAGTGTAAACACACATGGTTTCGCAACAAAAATTCTCGAACAAAAATTGCGCCCGCGCTCTTGCGAATTCTTAACAGAACCATGGTTTTAAACATTTTTATAAAATGGTACCAAGCGGGCCTCTTGCGCGCGCTTCTCAAAATCGTTCGAGCGCCTTTTGCGCGCGTGCTGTCGCAAGAACCCCTGTCAACAATATAGACGAAAAGCACGCGCGCGTCGTCTTGCGCGCACGCCGAAGTCATTCAAAAACCGCAAGTTTCGTCAGGATTTTTTTTTTTTTTTTTTTATTTAAAAAAAAAAAAAATCGAGTGTTATGAATACATAAAACACATGGCTTTGCAGCGCCAGTGAAAGCAAAGAACCTGCGATCGCGCATTTGCAACTTCTTCAGAACTCCAGGGAGTTGCAACATGTTCCTTACATTCTGCCAAACGGAAGCGGCCTTGCGCGTGTGCTTGGGGGGGGCGATCCCTGTCAAATAATACCATGCGCGCCACTCGCGCGTCGGCCGCTCGTGTATGTCGAATCCTTTCCAAAAGCTTCATCACCGACGCGAGGACGCTGTCATCGTCGTCGGCGTCATCAGCATCGGCGCCGTCACTGGCCGTCCTGTCGCCGTTGTCATCAGTGTCTAACGTCGAAGACGTTGCCATGATACCGCGCGCGCCCAAGTCGCCGACTCGTCGTCGTCGCTTACGTCATCGTTGTCGCCGTGGTCGTCCTTCCTCCTCCCTCGTCGTTGTCATCGTCCGTCCGTCCGTCGTCCCTCCTATTTCGTCGCCGTCGTCGTCGTCGTCGTCATCGTCTACCCTCCTCCCTCGTCGTTGTCGTCGTCGGCGTCGCCGTCCTCCCTCCTTCTTCGTCGTTCGCGTCGTCGCCGTCCTTCCTCCTCCCTCGTCGTTGTCGTCGTTGTCGCCGTCGTCGTTCTCCCTTCTCCCTCGTCGTCGTCGTCGTTTTCGTTGGCGACGTCGTCGTCGTCTTCGTCGTCGTCGTCGGCGTCGTCGTCGTCGTCGGCGGCGGCGTCGGCGTCGGCGTCGTCGCCGTCGTCGGCGTCGGCGTCGTCGTCGTCGTTGTCGTCGTCATCGTCGGCGGCGTCGGCGTCGTCGTCGTCGGCGTCGTCGACGTCGGCGTCGTCGTCGTTGTCGTCGTCGGCGTCGGCGTCGTCGTCGTCGTTGTCGTCGTCGTCGTCAAAGTCGTTGGAGACGTCGCCGGTGTCGTCGTATTCGGTCTCGGCAGCGTCTTTGTCGCTGCCGTCGTCGGCGTCGGTGTCGTCGGCGTCGGTGTCGTTTCCAAGTGCCATGTGGTACCGACCGTCACGGTCTTAAGAGGTCTTGCGACCAAGTTGCGGGAGGGAGGGTGGGATGTTTGCACGAGCAGTGGATAGGGCAGTTTCAAGTTGAGCAAACGAATTGCTCGACATAGGTTGCACCACATAGATGGCTAGAAACACATTATTTAAGGCCCACGCTTTTTTAAGGTGTATATCTTTATATGTATATATATATATATATATATATACACACATACTTATATAGCCCCGTGCACGAGGCCTGGGCGCCTGGGGCCCGGGCCACGGGGGGGCATGGGAGGACCGGGGTGTCCCAGACCGTTGTCAGAGCACCCCGGAGCGGCCCTGGAGCTCCCAGACTGCCCCAGAGAGCTCCCAGAGGCCCTCGGGGACTTCGGCAAGCCCCTCTAAGATAGCCCAGACAGCCCCAACGTGGCCCATGATGAGTTAGAGACCGCCAATACACAGCCCAAGAGGCCTCAAGGGAGCTCCGAGAAGCATCCCGAGAGAGCCCGAAGAGGCCCAAATCATTGATTCTCATCTGTTTTGTGTAAAGTGTTTTTCGGGATCTCGCGCGTTCGCCCTCCCGACGCTCCAAGACGGCCGCCGACGGCACCAGGGAGTTCGAAAATTGCCCAGGAGGAGCCCCACATGGCCCAAGAGAGCCCCAGGACAGGTCCAAGCTGGGCCCCAGAGCGCCAAAGAGGCCTCAAAGACCGCCCACAGACCGCCGAAGAGGCTTCCAAAAGAGCCCCGAGACGGCACCAGGGAGTTTGAAAATTGCCCAGGGGGAGCCCCGCGTGGCCCAAGAGAGCCCCAGGACAGGCCCAAGCTGAGCCACAGAGCGCGAGCGGGAGGCGCCAAGCCGTTCTAAGGCGGCCCAGAGCGCCCCAACGTGGCCGCAGATGGGCCCAGCACGGCAAATAATTACGCAGCCTAAGAGGTTTCCAAGAGGCCTCAAGACAACTCCGAGAAGCACTCCGAGAGAGCCCGAAGAGGCCCTTATCGTGGATTCCCATGTGTTTTTCAATGATTTTCGGTTTCTCGCGTATTCGACCTTCCGACGCCCCAGGACAGCCGACGACGCCCCCAAGACCGCCCACACACCCCCGAAGAGGCCCCCCAAAGAGCCCCAAAACGGCACCAGGGAGTTCGAAAATTGCCCAGGAGGAGCCCCACATGGCCCAAGAGAGCCCCAGGACAGGCCCAAGTTGGGCCCCAGAGCGGGAGCGGGAGGCGCCAAGGCGCTCCAAGACGGCCCAGATGGGCCCAACACGGCAAATACACAGCCCAAGAGGCTTCCAGAAGGCCTCAAGAGAGCTCCGAGAAGCATCCCGAGAGAGTCCGAAGAGTCCCTAATCCTAATCATTGATTTTCATTATTTTGATGTTAAACATGTTGTTCGGTTTCTCACGTTTTCGATTTTTCCCACGCTCCAAGACGGCCGACGACGCCCCCAAGACCACCCACAGACCGCCGAAGAGGCCTCCAAAAGAGCCCTGAGACGGCACCAGGGAGTTTGAAAAGTGCCCAGGAGGAGCCCTACATGGCCCAAGAGAGCACCAGGACAGGCCCAAGATGGGCCCCAGAGCGGTAGCGGGAGGCGCCAAAGCGCTCCAAGGCGGCCCAGATGGTCCCAACGTGGTTTCAGATGGGCCCAACACGGCAAATACACAGCGGGGCTTACAGCGGCACCCGTGGCCCATCTGCGACTAGAACCTAAGCGCGCGCGTAGCGCGCGCGTGGTTGTAGTATACGTAGCACCCCGCAGTTGCGGATCGGAGTGAGGGGGCGGGCGCGGGCGACGCGGGCGTCGTCGAGCCGACGGACCTCGTGGCCCCCACCGTCCTTGTCGATGGCGCTCTCCTCCTCCTCCTCCTCCTCCTCCTCCTCCTCCTCCTCCTCCTCTTCCTCGCTCCTCGTTCCTCGCTCCTCGCTCCTTCTCCTCCTCCTCGCTCCTCTCCCCTCGCTCCTCGCTCCTGGCTCCTCCTCCTCCGCTTCCTCGTCCTCGTCGTCATCGTCATCGTCATCCTTCTCCTCCACCTCGTCCTCCTCCTCCTCCTCTTCTTCCTCGTCCTCCCTCTCCCCCCCTCGTCCTTCCACCATCGTCCTCCCATTGTCGACCACCCCTCATCGGCCTCCATCATCGTCCTCCCATTGCCGTCCATCATCATCATCATCCCCCCTCCTCCCCGTCCTCCTTCTCCCCCTCCTCCCCCTCCTCCCCCTCCTCGTCCTCCTGCTCCTCCTCCTCCTCCTCCTCCGCTTTCTCCACATTCTCCTTACATCCTCTCTTCTTTCGCGTCCTCCTCGTCCCTTGTTTACTCCTCCTGTCTCCCCTCCCTTTCCCAAGATAACGGCAACGCAATCCTTTTTTCCACTTTATGCTCCCCGACTTCCCTGATCAAGGCAACTCGCCAGGGCAAGGTTGCTGGACGGGCTGGTGTGGATGCGCGGGGCTTGAAGAGGTCGCTGCGGGCTCAGACGGCATGCAAAAATCCGCCGCCGCGCTTGTGCGGCATTGGTTTCTTCAGTGAACGTGGTTTGGGTCGCGGGTGGGCCGCGGGCTCTCCAGTTCCACCTGGAAGGAATGCAAAAGCAGCCCGCCGCAGGCGCCGAACACATTGGTTTGTACACTGAACGTGGACTGGGTCGCGGGTGGGCCGCGGGTTCCCCGCCTGAAACGAAGGCAAAAGATGCCCGCCGCAGGCGCCGAAGAATTTGGTTTGCACCCTGAACGTGGTCGCGGGTGGGCCGCGGGCTCTCCACCTGCAACGAATGCAAAAGATGCCCGCCGCAGGCGCCGAAACATGTGGTTTGTACCCTGAACGTGGTTTGGGTCGCGGGTTGGTCGCGAGTTGGTCGC